GTCATTGTGATTTATTGTTCTTCATAACACGAGTCGATCAGGTCTCTTAACCTCTGTTTACATGGTACGGCTAGTGGTGGTGTTAAGCTTCCTCCCAAGGATTTTAATGATAGAACATAAATGTTGCAAGATCGGGTAACGAAATCTGGCACAGTTGACGTTCCTTACTTACTACCCTAAGTTTCTCTTTGCCTTGGCTTAAAGTACATCTTGCTTAGTGCGAAACAAAAAAAAAAAGTGATTTCTCCTGAAAATCAGATAAAAATGGAATGGCATCAGGTGCACTGATTTTCTTTTCAATGCCATATCAGTGTTTCAGAGAACAAATACAAAAAGCTGAAAACCTCAAAAACATCAATAGAAAAACCACTGACTTCCTCCAAAACAGTAGTTTGACAACTGCAGTAATAACTGCAACATTCATTCTAGATTTGGCACAGCTTTCACATATCCAAACAGTTCCATTCATTTTACAAAAGCGATTTGATACATAGATCATACTTGAAAAACCTGGCCTGAGGCCCAGTGCAATTGAATGGCTTATTTAAATAATAATAATAATAAAGTGCAACATTCCTTCTATGAAACTGCTTTTCAGTACATTGATTGGTAAAAGATGACCGTCCTTTACACCAAAATGGCACAACGACAGTACTTGGCATGTTTCACAGCAATAAGACTATCCAAAGGTGAAAATGGAATAAATCCTGGTTCCTGAAAGAGTCCCGAAAAATCTATTTTGATAGGAGCATTAATTCATTACATTAGCAGTACTTTTCTCGATATACATACTGTTACATACCCAGTAATATGAAGCTTCAGAAGTTGGCTGAAAGCGGGTCCTATTAAAACTAGAATAGCAAAAAATAAAAAAATAAAAAAATCTAAAGAAAATATTAAGATGTTTGACTAGAAAATTAACCAAAGACTAGAGTAGATTTCATTTCCGGTTAACAGTACCACCATCTTTGACAACAAGAACAGACGTTTTGTATCAATGAGATATAATCAATAATGTTTGATAAATAATACATGGTGTGGAGAAAATAATTATACATATGTTTCCTCTTGCATTATAATAGAACTTTTATTGGATTCATCCAATAAAACTGACCGGAAGGGGATTTAAAAAGTACTTTTTATACAGCTCATCATTAAATGCATTGGCACAATATGTGGTGACACCTAGCAATCTAGATGGCTTAACTTCGTGGAAGATAAGTCTACTAGTCATGATGTCTCTACACTACCTCCAGGACAAGAGGCAGCATGCCTCTGAATACTAACTGGTGTGGAAAAGCAGTGGAAGACACTACTCCCCCCCCCATGTCTTCTTGGGAGTCCCACATTCATCTGATTGGCTATTGTGTGAAACATAACGTTGGACCAAAATGATTGTTGGTATCATCTATCAGGGTTCATATGTGCTGCTATAGAATGTATTTCACAGCCACATGCAGTGTTAGCTGGCACATTGTCTCACAGATAACAACATACTTGTTCCAGTCCAGCAGTTCTCTGTTTCTGTAGAGATGTCAAATACAGTAGGACCCTCATATCTGTGGGATTGGTATCTATGGTTTCTCTTACCTGTAGTCTAAAAAAAATGGAAATATGTATTTTCATGATGTATTTATCAGAATGGGCCACTAGAGGGAACCAGAGACTATGTTATGTATTCTTGTCTTTGAAGAATACACAGCATGGTCTCTGGTTCCCTCTAGTGGCCGATTCAGGTAATACAGTGCATTACTGGAGCATTTCTGACCAGCAGGCTTTTTTTCTTTATAGATAAAGATTATACTTCAAAAGTTGCTGAAATTTGGGGGCATCCCTCACAACTGTGCAGGTGACAATGTTGCAGGCTGGATGCCTATATTTTGGTTCTGTATGGATTCTGCAATATACTGTACATCACCCTAGGGAACTAAAATGTCCCGCTGCAGCACTAAACGGCTATAGTATAATTGGTAGAATTTATGACAAATATATTTGGCATGATCTGCCACTTTGATTTCAAACAGAGAGTTAAGGACACAAATTTAAGGAGCACTCCTAAACCCACATACCTGAGAGTAAGCCCCAATGAACTCAGCAGAATTCACTTCTGAATAAACATATAGAGGATTATGCTGTCTCTTTCATTAAAATCGAGGAACTTTGAAGGGTGTAACTTTGTACTGTCACATTTAATGTCACTGAAAGCAGTATGATTGCCAGAAGCAAGCTGGGGATTTCCAGTCTTGTATAGCACACAGCAAGTCAATACAGGCTTCTCAGCCTGTATTTCATGACAGTTTGCTTTATCTGCCTTCCTTGACAATAACCGTTTTTCACATATCCAACAGTCACTTTGTGCTAGGATTAACAGAGCTGCTTCCTGATGTACACTAGAGTATCATCATCATCTCTTTTTTTAAAAAAAAATGCTGGAGTTTATTGCATTACATCAGAGGCTGTTTTCAAAATTGACCTAACTTCCAAGAGTGGCTCCTTGAAATTCACACTTGGGCTGTTATATGCAAAATGGGACTGGGCCCCTGAATCTTCAAATGCTGTATAGAAGGGGTAATTTCAGCAAACATTGCTCCTCAAATGAGGCACACTTGCGGAAATTCTCTCTTCTACACAACATGTAAAGACCCTGTCCTCTTTCGCATCCAGCAATACTAAACCACAGAAGCTGCAGAATAGCTTCCTATTCCTGACACCCATTTAGTATTCTTGGACTGTCATCACCAATAATGTGTCTATTCAGTACAACCTTCACACGTTGTACTGAGTGAATGACTGGGTTACAATTTCAGAGGACAAGTGCCTGCTGTGTGATCCAATGGCTTCTGTCTCTATTGTGAAACTACAGAAAAATCAGCGTGGAATGAAGCTGAGAATGTGTATGATTAGTGCAGGTGGACTGGTACTGGAATGGCTTTCATCCTTCTCTCCATAACCTCTTGCATGCCCTGAAAATAGGCTCAGTAAAGGGAACTGCACGGATCCAAATGTTAATACGTTAGTCATTCCCCGGGTCACTTCAGATTTCAGCTAGAAAAACTAAGTAACAGTTAAAAGGCCTAAGCCACTGTTAATATCTACCTAAATATAGCATTGATTTAGAGAAGTTAAAAATGCACCCCAGTCTATAGTTATGTATGTTTTAAAGTGCTTCTATCCAGATTGGTAAAGCAACGTTAGTAAAAAGAGATCGTACACCAGCTTGGACTTGTGTTAGCATTACTAGTAAGTAACCACTTGTTGGTAAATATGCAAGATCAATACAACTGGAAAAAACACATTAGATTTTTCAATATTTGATGCTGAAATGGATATTAAGATTTAATCAAAGATTTCAGAATTCAGATCTTCAAATTTTCTGATTCTGTTCAGTTTATTTTCAAAGATTTAATGAATATCAGCTACCGGGGCACTTTTCATCCATAGACCTCTCCAGGGCATTCCAGTAAATCCGCAGCTCATGAGGTTTGACAAAATGGCTTGTCACAATTTTCTTGAAGCGGCAAGGGGAAAATTTAAGCCTTTCTGGGAAAAACGTTTGCTTTGAATGGAGTTCCTCCAACTTGATGTTGAGTTCAGCCAGGCACAGGCCAATGAAAACATCTTCCAGTTTAAGAAACTGGACATTTTCAGAGATGTTATACACCTGACTGGCAACATCTGTTGAGAAAACATAACCTGTTCCTGAACAAAAAGGAGGGTATGTGTTGCCTGGATATTCTTCTTTGCTCACACGCCACTTACTCAATATATGTCGTATTGGATGCTCATTCAGTTTCAAAAAGCCAGTGAAGAATCTGGTGTTTCTATTTTTCTGAAGAAGGAGTTCAGTCAGATAGTAGGTATTCACAAACACATCAGAGTCTGTTTTCATCACAAAGCTGGATTGTGTGCAGAATTTATGCACCCATTCAATACCCATCATTGTCTTCAATGTTAAGTTGTAATAGGAATCAATAAAATCCTTCTGAATGATGTCCCCATATTTCACATTCTCAACATTAATATCAATCTGGTTGTCATGCTTTAAAGTAGTTCCCAGAAGAAAACAGGTTACGATGAGTCTGTTGAATATCCATTTTAATTTGCCCCACGTCTCACGAATGGCCATACGCTCTTTGGACTGGGTATAAGATGATGTCACAAGAATAACCAGAAATGGAGGGTTCTTACTGCAATCCATATGAGGCAACTCCAGAAAATTTCCACTGTCTCTTTTAAAGGAAATGACCTCACCTTTTTTTGGACACAGTATGCAAATTCCTGAAAAGTTCCACTTGATAAATAAACAGAAAAAAGCAAGCAAAGCTATAGTGAAAATAATCTTCCTGAGTCTCTTGGAAGCCATCTGAAAGAAAGAAAGAACAAAGACAAAAGTTACATGGGAAAAAGTGAGCTCCTTGCATAGAACTACAAAAGAAAACAGAAAGTTGAGTCTTGTAAACATCTGAAAATGGTTCCTTGTAATTTCTTCTGGGAAGACCAGGCACTAAATCCACAGAGTAGGAAGGGAGAATGGCCACCCTACAGAAGTGGCCAATAACCACTGTAGAATTTGGTTTTTACTATGAGTAGTAGTGAGGACTGAACAAAATGGTTTGGGGTAGGGATAGCAAACCATGGGCAGGTTGTATCCCATGAGGTATTCATTTGCCCCACCTTAGAAGGTGCCCCTTCTCCTCCATGAAATCCTGTTCTTAATATCAGTTCCTTTCTCTATGCTTAGGTAGCCATGCAGATGTTACTCTTTGGCTCCTTCTGCAAAGAGAAAGGGAAGCTTAGCTTTAGACAATTGAATAGATGGCCAGGATGAACTGTGACTGCTTAAAATGGTTGAACCTTCTTTTGAACACAAGCCATCTGCTAGAGTGACTGAAACTATCATAAGTTCAACATACAAATGCATTTGTAATTTGTCTTCAAGAACAGTGCTGAGAAAAGAAATGCACCTACTTTTTGCTGACATTGGAACTTCTCTGTCCATATGCTGTGACAGCATCACATAATTCTTACATGGAAACCTGGAACGGCAAGGTAAACTCCACCTGAGGAAAAAATTGGAAAAGCTTATATTTCAGAGAAAAAACTTGAACCCCAACTTTTTTTTCACCCATTTTTTTCCACCTGGTATTTACAATAAGGAGTGTTTTTTTGTACATTACTTAACTATGCCTTTCGACACCTCAGAAACCAAGGTTTTAAAGTGACTGCCTGAGTGCTTGCATTAATGAAAAGTAATAAGTTAATTGTGCCATGAATGAATGGGTTAAGAGAGAAACTTCTCTCTTTCCTTCTTAGTACTGGAATATAGGTTCATCCATGTGAAATAGAATGGTGGAAGATAAAGGGCAGAGAGAAGGAGGTATTACTCCATGCAGCACATCGTTAAACTATGGAAATGATGTAGGGCTATGGAAATTTATATGGCTGTAAAAGGAGATGAGATTAATTCAAAGAAGATACTGCTATCAATGTCTGCTAGACAACATGCCAAGATTACCAACTGCTGGAGAGGAATAATGAAAGAAGACCACAGGTATCTGCTAGGCAACAATTAACAACAGTATAGCACTGCCAAGACCTTTAGTATAGCCCAGTACGCGACTATATTTGTTATTATATTGTAGTTTAGTTTTGGATGTCATGATTTGATAGTTTAGTTCTGGATATAGTCTTGTGCTAAAAGCAAGTAGATGTTATTATTTCAGTGAATTCCAAATATGATTCTACTCCCAGGAATAAAACAGATGTGTACATTCCTAAATATGTATATACTTCCAACTGCACAATTTTGAAAAAGGATTTGTCTAAAATGTTTTTTTTTAAAAAAAAGAAAAAGAAAAACAAAGCTGGATGAAGAAACACCATTTCCAGGTTTTCACTGTTGCTGTTCTCAGTTATTTCTCATTCTGATCATTCTAGCAAAAGTTTCTAATGTTAGCTTGTTTTGTTTTTTTCATAAAGCAGTCTTTATGAAAATACATACAGATGGTGTCTAAATGATACTTTGGTCCACAGCCCAGGATGAAACTAGACAAGGTGTTAATTTCATGGATGTCAACAACTGGAATTTGGGAGGGAAAAGTTGAACTTTTTTCCTCATCCTGTTATGAATCCTATCCTTTAAAAAAAAAAATCAGCGCCACAAATCTGCAAATGATGCTCCCTTTGGTGAGAGAAAAGCAGAAATGGTCAGCATACAAACCAGATGCGACCTCCAACATACCCTAATGTTCAGAAACTTTTTTTGGGAAAAAAATACTCAAAAAGCCCCTTATCCTAGAAAATCTAACAATTTCTACTGTGGTTTCTTAAACTGGACTTGTTTCCTTCCAAAAAGTAAACCATTTCTGCAGCTATGCAAGTGGATTTTGGCCATAAACTTATAGTTAGCTTTTTGCATCCATCTACAACTCAATTTGAATAAACAGAATAACAGCAGGGCCCCCTCTTTATAGGTGTGACCAGAGAAATTGTAAGGTTGAGTTGCTCAAAACTGAAAGTCTTATTTGTGAGGAATTAGAAGTAGTTCTGACATTATTTGCACATTTTACCTTGGTAATCATGAATTAAAATTACCACTGAGTTGGCATGGGGACTTCAGTTTCTGGCTCTGATTGTAGAATCACCCTATTGGTTTTCAGTGTAGCAGGAGAAATCTAGAAATGAAATAAATACATTATTTCAAAAACCTTGGTAAACAATGAGATGATCTGGAGAATGCTTTTTGGAATTCAATAGTAAATTGTAGTAATAAAAACAGCTGAACAGCTGAGTACCTTTACACTGGATCAAGCAGGATAAAATAATATTTGCTCTTATGTGCCATCAAATCACTTCCAATTTAAAATGACCCTATGAATTAAGGACACCGCTAAGGTCTTACTATTAACAGCCTTGCTTCGTCTTGCGAACTAAAAGATATGAGTTCCTTTACTGAGTTAATCCATTTCATGTTCAATTTCCTCTTTTTCTGCTGTCTTCACTTTTACTAGCATTATTGTCTTTTCTAGTGAGCCTTGTGTTTATATGATAAGCCAAAAGTATGATAATCTTAGTTTAGACATTCCCACTTCTGGAGAGAGTTCAGACTTGATTTAAGATTAGAGATGTTGAAAGATCAATACAAATAAATTATCTTGTGAAATGTATTAATTTACAATAGCCTGTAAGAGTTTGTGTGTGAGAAGTAAAACAGTGTGCCAGTCAAACTAAAGAGTGGTTGTGAAATCTATATTATAGTTGCTAATGTTTAAGTATAATAATAATAAAACAAACCTGACATCTAGAGGACAAACAATGTAAATGCATTTTATTCTGCCTGTAAACTAAATTCATGAGCCTATGGTGTCCAATATTTCTCTTTTTGCCTGTAAGAAAAACTGATTGGCTCCTCTTAACACAGTACATACACAATATGCACTGCATTTTATACTACACCTTAAATTTAATTAGTAGACACAACATGGGAATATGTAGCTAGGTAGCAAACATTAGAAAGCTACAGAATTTGGTGTAGCAGCACAAGTTTTATGATGCCTATTGCATGGTATAGGAATGTGTTTAATAAAAACACACACCGAAAGCCAAATGTGTTCTGTAAGAGTTTGTGTGTGAGAAGTAAAACAGTGTGCCAGTCAAACTAAAGAGTGGTTGTGAAATCTATATTATAGTTGCTAATGTTTAAGTATAATAATAATAAAACAAACCTGACATCTAGAGGACAAAAAATGTAAATGCCCTATTGCATGGTATAACAATGTAGTTTCCAAAGAATGTGTTTAATAAAACCACACATCGAAAGCCAAATGTGTCTACCCTCAACTTCCTTTACCAGATGCTACAGTATCCAGAGTAGTTTGGGTTTATAGCCAATTAGATTATAAATTATTTCCTGACAAGTGAAAAAAATGCAGGCACAAGATGCGCCATGTTATTCTTTACAGAGAATCTGTCAGCAAAATCTGATTTCAACACACACACACATATACACACAATGAACTGCTCAGTGATTTAGGTCTCTGGCTGTAGAGCTAGAGGTTGGGAGTTCAATTCCCCATTGTGCCTTCTTGACAGAGACTAGACTTGATTATCCATAGGGTCCTTTCCAACTCTGCAGTTCTAAAACAAATTGCAGCATCCTTTATTGCACCTGACGGCAGCAGAGTGATTTAAGGGGTGCAGGAATAGCTCTCAGCACATACAAACCTTTTCTCTGTGAGTGACCCAGCAGGAATAACAACATGTTCTAGAGTTCAAGCTGATTATCTCCCAATCCAAAACTTTTTTCAGCCAAAAAAAATGTTTCAAGTGATAATGTATTATGATTTTGTATCCCCTAGTTACTTCCTGTGGATCATCTGTGCTGGAAACAGGATGCTGAACCAGACAGAACTAGGCTCTGATCCAGCAAGGACACAGATTTTTCAGAGCCTTCTTTATAGAAAAGTGCTAAAATTGAAGTTTTACCAAATTTCACTGGGCACTATGATCCAGTTCATTTTGAGGGCCCCAGGTTGTAAATGGCAGGAGTGTCACCTTCAGTAGATCTCCAAGATTTCATACAGGAGGATTTTCTGGCCCTGCCTAGAAATGCTAGGGATTTAATGTGGAATCTTTTTGTACTAAAAGCATGTGCTTCATCGCTGAGCCCCTTACCCTGAAAATGAGCAACAACCAGCATAGCTGCTCCAGAAACTTTTTTCCCCATCATGACACTTGTTCAATCTACAGTGCTTACATTCTTCAAGATACCACTGCTCATTATCAGGTATATTTACTAACAAAGGCCCTGGACACATGAGGGAAATGTTCTCTAGTTAACCCCCAGTTAGATTGTTGTTGTTTTTTCTAGTCACAAGATCAAAATATTTGATGTTTTGAATCAGTGGTGTAGCTGCAGTTTATTTTCCACTCCATGAGAAGGTTGTGCTATTTTGTACCTCTGCTGTATTGGTGCATTCCTTATCAGAATTGTCTATGTGCATGACCTGTCCTGCTTCTGTTCAGAATCAAAGCCAGGAAGGTAGCTACCATTATTGTGGCATGTGCTTGCTTATTATTATTTTTCAAGGCCATTACATTGATACATTGGTAAAAGTTTGTCACAGAGCAATCTGAGCCATTGATGCAGTAATGGCATTTCAACACACCACTTTTCCCCAAACATTGTGAGGAGAGAGTCATGTGGGGGGCTGCAGAGGGGGAAAGGAAATGGCAGGTTAAACTGAAAGGCAGATGGCAAGGGGTAGCAGATGGACCAATACAATTCTGCAGGAGCACCCAGCACAACAGAGAACGTATTAACAAACAGAAATCCCTTCCCTAAATATCAGTGTATCAATATATATATTGATACATTGATATATATATATATATATATCAATTGATTGATTTATCGATAGATAGATAGATAGATAGATAGATAGATAGATAGATAGATAGATAGATAGATAGATAGATAGATAGATAGATAGATAGATAGATAGATAGATAGATAGATAGATAAGATAGATAGATAGATAGATAGATTGGGAAGGTGTTTCTGCTTGTTAATATGTCCTCTGTTGTGCTGGTTGCTCTTGCAAAATTGTATTGAGATATGAATACCATTACCTTCCCACCATGCTGGTACCTATTTATCTAGTTGCATTTTTGCATGCTTTCAAACTGCTAGGTTGGCAGGAGCTGGGACAAGCGACGGGAGCTCACTCCGTCGCGTGGATTCGATCTTATGACTGCTTGGTCTTCTGACCCTGCAGCACAGGCTTCTGCGGTTTAGCCCACAGCGCCACCACGTCCATTAATAGCTATACCGATGAGGAAATTTCACCAGGTGTACCTTCCCGTATACTGGTCATGCCCTTTGGGAGATTCTGGAAACTGTAGTCCAAAAACTAACTTTTCCAAGCTATGAACAGATCTGAATGGAAGATTAAAGTCAGGAAAGAGAGGAACAGAAACAGTAAAACAATTAAAGGAGGTAAATACAGAGTGAGAAGGTTAAAGAAAAGCAATGGGAATTACAACAGGAACAAGAAAGAAAACAAAGAAAGAAAAGCGTTAAAGCTAAACAAAAATTTAGGAGGGAAAGGTTAATAAAGGAAGTCACATCTGAAGGTAAGGTAGGCACTGGCAGCTGGCAGCTAACCATCAGCCCGCCCACTTCTGCATGCCTCCTTACCAGGGGCAAAAGGCCAGGCACTTAAATTTGTGGCTCTCTGCTGCTGCAAGTTTGAACGCTCGTTTGCCAACCTGCCTGCATTCCTGGATATTAAGATTGCCCGCCTGTCCTGCGCCTTCCAGTCAACACCAAACATCCGGGGCGGGGGAGAAGTTCTTTCTTATTCCCCTTTGCTAAGAACCAGCGGGTTTAAGATCTGAACTGTCTGTGCCCAGTTTTTTCAGAGGGAAAGGGGAATAACAAAGCCTCTCTCTTTTTCCCGGCTATTCTCCCACATTTCCTTAACCCAGAGAAAGTCCAACTCAAAAAAAGGGGGGGGCAGAAGAACAACGCTACCTCCGGACGTGGCAGAGGAGGCTCTCCCATCTTTTCCGAGGGGCAACGATTCTGACGCTCAGGCTGCCTTGGGCAGAGTGAGGAGGCGCCCCCGGACCACACCGCCCTCGCTCTTTTCTTTTTTTAAAAAAGAGCAAGCAAAAATATGGACGAAAAAATCCATCTCATTTACTTGTGCTCAAGGTGCTTTCTTAACCAAGCAAACAAAAAAGGTGCATGTTCCTCTTTGTTCCATCTCTGTTTCCTTGCAGCCTTCCAGATCCTCCGCTTCATACAGCCCGCCCGCCTCTCACTGGGGGTGCTGCGCCTTCTTTCTTTCGGCTGACAGAGGAGGAAACCCAGCCGCTGCCGCCGCCGCCGCCGCCGCCGCCCAAGAGTCCCCTGCCGCTCCAGCCGCGGTTCCCTCTGCCCTGCTCTCCTCTCCTGGACAAGTGCGCACTTCCCTGAGACGGAATTTCTCTTTAGGGTTCCCCTCATTCGGACCCCAAAACCTCAACGCCGCTCCCCCCGAGACACACACACCCAAGCCCATGTATATCGACTGCTACCTCCCTCTCCTCCTCACCCCCGCGGGCATTTTTCTTTTTCGTTGTTCTTATTAAATGTACGGCGTATTGCCTTCAGCGGCGTGAGGAGAAGTCGGAGGGGGAGAGGGGGGGCAAGCTCCCGGCAGGACTGGTCATACTGAATGTGTCCAATGGGCCCTGCCTGGGATGCTACTGGCTAACAACTGGGGGCGGTCCACCTAATAGCCGTTGCGGAGGTTGGGAAGAGCTTCAATGGGGAAGACACGCCACACTCTCTGGTCCTGAAGAGCCTCAGCCGGCCCGTTCCCCGGTTTTCCTCTGGCCAGAAGCGGAAGCGACAGAAGCCGTGGGAAGCGCTGCTTGCTTCTCCGCCGTCCGGCGGCGGGAAGAGTTGAAAATGTCCTTCACGAAGCCTATCAAATGCTCTTTTCCCTCCCCTCTCTCTACTAGAGAACAGAAGTACACCCTCCCCCTCCCCTTTTCACCCCCCCCCCCAGAGTTGGGGGACATAGAAGGAGCTTTCCTAAAGAGGGGGAAAGCATTGTGAGTGCACTGAGGCGTCCCCCTGGGCAACCACGAGCAGCCAGCAAACCCTCCCTTCCAGAAGCGTTGCACCAGAAGGGCACTCAACCCACCCACCCACGTCACGGGCGACGACCCCTCGAGGGCGGCTGAAGACCAGGAAAAGTTTCTGCTCACCTCTCACGCTCTGGCTGCGGGTGGTCAAATATAGTCCGATTGTCTTGACATTTTAAATTGGTTTTTGATTTTGCCTATTTCACATGCATCCGCGATTTTGAATTGTGCAATCCTCTGACACCATTAAAGACAGACCCACAGAGTTAAGCCCCAACCGCTGTATTTCAAAAATCGGAATGATGTGAATGGATAGGCTTTTAAAACTGTTTTCAATGGGTTTCTCATAGGAACACTCGTTTAATGGTGTTTTCGTATCATAGCTAATGGTGTCTTCTGTTTGTAGCTGACTTTTTAATCATGTTGTCAGTGGCCTTGGGTTCTAGTTCTGTCCCCAAAGACAGAATATAAATACATACATTAAAAGGAAAATCCCCGAAAGCATGGAAAAACAATAGCAATTCCATATGTAGTTTACAGAAAAATGCCAATGAGCTTGGAACCCTATATACCAGGAAACATGGCAGTGAGGGGAGGAGAGGCTTTTCTTCCTCTTAAATTGGCTGTGAACAAATAAAGTGTGAAAGAGGCTCAAATGTACAGTGTCGTGCATGAAAATATAATAATTGGTATCTTATTATACAGATTGTGATGTACTGGATAGAATGATGGACCTGGACTCAGAAAAGCTGGTTTCAAATCTCTAGTTGACCATAGAAATGCACTGTAGGAGGTGGAACGGTAAAAACATTCCTTAAATACTGTACTTGCTTACTTTGAAAGCTGCATCAGAGGTGCAATAAAACAGTTCTTATTTGACAGTACATAATACACACATATTCTATTATGAGTCTCAACAATAGACCCATTTATTCAGTGGGATTTACATAAGTGTTGACCTACCTTCCAGTAATTCTTTGAAATGGACTCTTCTCCAGTTCAGACTAGCAATTGGATACTAGCTAGTATCATTTTTTTCTGAAAGGATCTCGTGTGCTCACAGTCGAAAATTAAGTCTACTAAGTTTCATGGGGCTTTCTTCCTGGTAACTGGAACAGCCATAGTCATAGAGATCACTATTGTAGCTACTTTCTCTGTATTGGTTTCTGACTTCCAGCAGTCTCACTGCTGCTACTACGACTTTTGAAACCCACTCCATTTTTTAATTATCCCATGCATCTATGGCAGTATTATCTGAGTGGGGTGCAAACACATGGCCAAAATACAGTATGTGAAACATGCTATGGGACTGGAATGAGCTAATTTACATTCTTCCTCATTGACCACATGACATAAATGCCAGTACAAATCAGCCTAGAGTTTTTGCCCCTCAATCTGTAGTTGTGGCTCTGCTTCTATTCTTTCTCTTTTTTTAACATTGGATCAATTCACATTGGTCTGGGTAGTGTGATAGCTTGAAGCAATGTAGAAAACTTTGATCCTTTGCTCTCTACCATTCCCTTCTGGACAGAGTATGCCATTTCTTTCTTTCTTTCTCTCTCTTCTTTCTTTTTTTTTAAAAAAGCTTGATACTAGCATTCTTGCGCTAGAGCACTGGTTCTTAACCTTTGTTGCTCAGATGTTTTTGGACTGCAACTCCCAGAAGCCTTCACCATCAGCTGTGCTGGCTGAGGTTTCTGGGAATTGCAGTTCAAAAACACCTGAGTAACAAAGGTTAAGAACCACTGCGCTACAGTACCTGGATGGGGAGGGGGAGGAAATAGAGAATGAGAAGAGGAAACCACCCCCTTGCCCTTGTTTACAGCTTATTAAGTAGTGACTGAGTCTTGTGCAGGGATACAGAAGAGCTGCAAACAAGGCCGTTCAGCAAATTTCTCTGTGACCAGCTAATTTGAACAAACCCAGGGAAACCCAAACTCCACAGTGCAACTTTACAGTGTGTGAATTCACATTTCTCTCGCTGTGAGAATTCTTATTAAAAAGCTGCATTCTGCAGATTTGAATGCACATGTAGTATCATCTGAATAAGATTGATTTGGTTTCTTTTTCAGCTTGGGACATCTTCTTGAAACAATCAGTTCAAATACTATGGTTTTCTCTTCTGAAATAAAAAACGTCCTCATAGTGCTGTAATCTTATATAATATTTCATAAATTGCACTCTTTGTTTATCCAAAATTTTGGTTATCTGAATATTTTGTTGCCCCAAGAATTATTCGTTGAGATTTCACCATATTTGCATTTCTTTCTCTGTTATGATAATACATGCAAATAGAAAAAAGGGGGGAAAAGCAATCTTGGAGATTGCTCATAAAATGAGGTATTGGTTGTGTATCTATAGAAGTCAAGCATGTGTGAACAACCTACCCAAAGGTTAGTCCCAACTAGAACAGATCCATTTAATATCTGGGATTTGTCAACACTGATGAAAATCTCGTCGATTCTAGTAAAAACAAAGGACTAGCACCAATTGTTGATCTCAGCTACTGCAGATTGATTTAATGAATAGAATTTCTCAACACTAATGTAAACCCAGTTTATTCAGCTTTCTGGGGGACTAACAATAGGATGTAGCCTTTACTTTTACTAGAACCTTGAGGTCCACTATCTTGAACTTAGCACAGAAGACACACTTGAGATCAATGACTTTTAAACACAGGAATTTGTTTTGAGCACCAGAGCTGAATGAAACACACCTGAAGATTTCTTCATTTGAATAATATAGTTTGGGAAAGGAGAGTCATTTTGTTGTTGCTTGTGGATAAATAATTGGGAGACAGAAATTCATTCTGATAAACTGGAAATGATAGAAAAATGTACTGACTGGGTCCAGATTCTTTGCACCTATTGTATACACTCACTGTTGAACACAACCCCATTAGTTTTAGCAGATTCAATCTGTACATACTTGTTGAACCTCCTGTCTTTATGCAGAGCAAGATGGAAATGGATCAAAAGCATCCACACTTGGACAAAGTTTGCTTTCCTACCAAGAGCTTGTATTCTGTCTGATTTCAGTCAAGCCTATTTTTCTGCATATCCCAAACTCCGCTAGACTCTTCGTATGCTCCAAGAAGTATATTTAGTTCTTAAATATATTTATTTATTTTATATCCCGCCTATCTGGTCGGTTAAGACCACTCTATATGTGTGCCAAGTCAAGCCCAAATTGATAAGTTGTTGACTTATAGAATTTATGAAGAAAATTACACTTAATGGCTATCTTAGAATTTCATTTGCCTTCCACATTTAGTCCAAAATGCGATGAACACCTCCATCTATATCTTAACTACCTGAGGGCAAATAGTAGCTTAAGGGTGATGATGGTTGAAATCAGGAAAACACTGTGAAGGAAGAATTAAAAATCTCTCCTCAGAACCATGAACCCAACCTTCTGTTAATTTTCTGAATACACTAGATTTTGTCCTTACCAACTCTGTTGATTGAAGTGGGACCTACTCCATGGTTTCATTTTTAATGTGAAAAGGGTTGCTTGTCTGAACAGAGTATATAAATGTAAGTCTCTTTTAATTAGGGTAAACCTTATGCAAAGAAAATCAAGGTGCAGCTTTCCTTAATTCTGCAATACTATTTTGTAGGCTGCACTGCCAGCCAAAATCCCTGTTTTTACACCTCTACCCAGGCACAAGAGTCTGGTCAGATGTGTTCACTTGATCCTATACCTATTTCCAGTTAGGCTAATTTGACGATTTCTTTTGAAACAGCCAAATAATGCTTTTAATTTTTCTACCTGGTGCACAGACTTCTGCATAGCAGCATACCTGTAATTCAGTTTCTCTAGTAAATGAAAAATATTGATGAGCTTGTAGCACTTGATGGCTTACTTTAAAATATGCAGCCATGATTAACTGAAGCATACAGAGACATGCAAAATAATACTTTCCTTACCTTCCTTTTCTGCAGTGCACCACATGCTTTTCTAGCCATGTTGTATAAAGGCTCCAGTGAGTTGTCTCAGGTCTTTCTCTAAAGAAAAAGATTTCTGTTTCTCACATTCATCTTGAGATGCTCCCTGTGTCATCAAAGGGACCTATTTGATCAGTGATCATTAGGTCTCGGAAGGCTTGGTCACATCTGTCCAGTAATGGAAATCTGCAGAATGTATCTCTTCCCTTTTCCCCTCCCCTAGGTAGCAGACAGTACCACTGCAGTCTGATCGGCAGCCAGAGGGAAAGTTAGGAACTGTCTACAAATGTTCTCACTTTGTACTCAAGGAAAAAAACAGCTCCAGATCCGTTCAGCTATTGCTAGTGAAACAGGAATAGTAATTATTTGAGAGACCCAAAACACTAACCAAACTATTATTCTTTTTTACAGTAGCTTCCATTAGAGTCTCTGAAATCTGAATGTTTCCTGTTATGTAGATCATACTCACGTGTGACATTAAGGTAATAGCAATATAAAACACTTACCTGAGCATATGCTCCACTGAAGATATGCACAGGAGAGCTGAATAAGAGCATGCCGGAAAGGGCATTGTGTACTTCCCCTGCTTCTGTGCAAATTCCTCTGTAATTTGAATGTAAAGCACATCCTACCTTATATATACAAACTCATTAAAATTGCTTTCTTCCACTTCCCAAGAGCCATCGGATCCCAGCTGTGAAAGCCTTCGAGAATACAGAGATAGAAATATTGGGATTATAAACAGAAGCATATCTTTCTAGGTTAAGTAATATCTTTTACTGGATCACTAAAAAGTTACACGTATGATGACAGAACTCTTTGTCAGGCTAAGATGGTATAAAATGTGGGATTTAAATAGAAAGTTTTAAAAATGACCAGATGTAATGGCCATAGCTCATGCAGTCAGATTACCAGAAAGTTAAACTAGAAGTTTTAGATTCTGTTTGAGGCCACGTAACAAAAGCACTGTCAGTTCACAGGCTACCCACCGAGAGATGGTGGTGGCCTGACTTGCTGCCCCACCCCCACCCCTAAATCCACCAAGTGCTCGATTGCAGGTGTCTGCAGTAGGCTTGCAGCAGAAGAAAGTGGAGCTGGTATCTGTCCTTACATCAGAAAAATAGGATAAAGAATTCAGGTATCTTGCTTACCAAAAAGTCATTTGCAGTCAATTTGGCATTTGTGCCTAGAGGACAAAAGAGATAGATTACTCACAGAATGCAATCTCATAGAAGAGACCCTTTCTAATGGCAGGAGATTTTTTTCCTGGATAGCTTATCATGATATTTCCAAATTGTTGGTGTTTTGTGCCATCAAGTCAGAAATGACCCATAGTGACCCTAGTAAGGTGTTCAAGGTATGTGGGATATTTAAGAAGTGGCTTTACCAGTTCCATAATGCCAGTGAGGTTCCATGACCAAATGGGCATTTGAACCCTGATTTCCAGTGCCCTACTCCATCACTTTATCCAATCCAATCCACTACACTACACTGGGTATCCCAATATTTCCAATAGAAGGTACCAAAAAAAGAGCTAAATGATCCATCCATAGAAGCAAAGTCTTGCACTGAGCAATATGTTTATTGGATTGTTAAAAAGTTAAAAAGAAGGTAAGCTTTCAAGATGCCCCAATTCTTGAGTGTTCTACGTGAACCCTGGATTTTATACCATCTTTGCCTGGGAGCAATATGTTTATTGGATTGTTAAAAAGAAGGTCAGCTTTCAAGCTGCCCCAATTATTGAGTGTTCTACGTGAACCCTGAATTTTATACCATCTTTGCCTGATGTTCTGTAGAACTTGAAGGCTTGCCTTATTTGTAGCTTTTTAGTGAGCCAAAAAAGGCATAGTCTGAGAACTGTACTGTATTTTTGTGTTGAAAATTGTTCAGCGTACTTAGACAAAATGAAGAAATAAACTTACAAATATTGGGCCTGTCGACCCTGGCAAATTTGGTGTGGTCTGGTCCATATTTAAAAGATTTTTAAGAGCAATCTGTTTTAACTCTCACTTGACTAATCCTTCTATCCACACAGGAAATCGTCCTCTTCTGCTGTGTTACAGGTCTATGCAGATTTACCCTGTTTACTCATGAGTAAGGAGGTGTAAGGCGGTGGCAGCAACAGAAATCGAGGACAGTTGCATTGTGGGGAAACACTTTTCCCAGTTCACTGGCTGGGAGTCGGGAAACAGAACACAGAGGGAATCTTAGTATCAAAATTGTAACATTTTATTATTTTGGAACTACTTTATTATTCCGGAACCACTTCATTACTTTGGAAAAATAGGGTATGTAATTATGGTGTACAAAAACATTACAGGATGATATCTACATGTAGCAGAGATGCAGCACAAAACATGAGTTTCAGTGATAAAGGCTGGGCATATAAGATGCAAAATGGACAGATTTAGAGCAATCTCAAGAAATGAATGCAATCAAAAGCTGGCACATTTACTTTAGATTAGGGGGGAAATTGTGGTGCTGGAGGAGACTCTTGAGAGTCCCCTGGTCTACAAGGAGAACAAACCTATCCGTTCTGAAGGAAATCAATCCTGAGTGCTCACTGGAAGGACAGATCCTGAAGCTGAGGCTCCAATACTTTGGCCATCTCATGAGAAGAGAAGACTCCCTGGAAAAGCCCCTGATGCTTGGAAAATGTGAGGGCAAAAGGAGAAGGAGACGACAGAGGATGAGATGGTTGGACAGTGTCACCGAAGCAACCAACATGAATTTGACCCAACTCCAGAAGGCAGTGGAAGACAGGGGGGTCTGGTGTGCTCTGGTCCATGGGGTCCCGAAGAGTTGGACATGACTTAGGGACTAAACAACAACAGGGGGGAAATAAAGTGTTTCACCATGGGGTCCTGAAGAGTTGGACATGACTTGACTTAGGGACTAAACAACAACAGGGGAAAAATAAAGTGTTTCAATTCCTGGTAGGTCAAGATCACTTGGAAAATCACAGAGAGCAAAGGCTATCCTGGCTTTTACAGCTTCTTGTCACAAATCTACAATAGCAAGATCAGCCTTGGCTCAGAAACAATCAGCTGTACAAATATCTTTATATCCACATGGAGAGAGAGGAGAAAAATTGGATGATGTGGAGTGGAACACCTCCTGAGCCTGGTTCCCTGTAGAACAGGTACAAAATTGGGTTTGGGTTGGAGGGCAATGAAGCAGTTATGTATTCCTAACTAACTCATAACAGATTAGAGACAAGAGACCTACAAAAAGAAACCAAAGGGAGGGAAACAAGACAAATGTTGCGTGTGCCCAGTTTTGGAAAGCCCAAAATATCTTTACAAAATACTCTAGGCTCTTAGCTTGTCCACAAGAAAGATAACCTTCTGTACTTGAAACATAACATCTTCATAACCAAGGCAATGAACACACAAGGGTCAAAATTGAGCCCTTTTTCATCAATAGAACTGAATTTTCTTTAAGTATCTTAGGTGGATGACCAAATTCCCAGTGTATGGGCAGCACAACTTGTATTGATATTGCCTAAATATAAGAGCAAGTGCTTTACTAGAGGTCAAGGTCAATCAAGGTGCACAAGGAAGCAAGTTGTGCAAACAAGCAGCAAATACCTTGGGTGTTTGACAAAGTCTCTATTGATACTGACTATTTTGTGGCATTTAAAGGTATTTATAATAAGCTAGGAATATAAATATAGTAAAGCTGGGTGTGTTTATGATGCATATCTTAAAAGGAAGTAAACATTTGTATCTGGTTTTGGATCCAATGGACGAGTATTCAGCATGTTAAGTAACCATTATGAAAGCCATGCATCCAAGAGACAAACAACTAGGGTTCACTAAAACCAGGGGCACCTACTGGTTTTGTATTGCAGAAGCATAACCTACTGGTCTTTGGGAAGCTGGGCACAATCCATGATTGCACAGTATTTCTCAGCAGGGCTTTGGAAACATCAATTCATTTAGGTCCTTTCATTGTGTTGGTGGCTTAGCTGTTAAGAAGGATTTTATATATACCTGGAATTCCCATTGTTTGCCTAGTCACATGAAGGCAAACCATATTAACTAAGTTAGAATGGAGGAATCACATGTCATGGAATCTGAATGCATTGAATACTAGTAGCTTTTACTTCACTGGTAGGACACTTGTTTCTGTCTGCCTCCAAAATCTGTTGCTTATATAAGATCCTGAAAAACCACAGTACTACATGTGAACATATACACACATGCACAGTGAGATAGATTTATTGCATTTTTGTTCCTATGTGTGAAAACATCACGATAAAAACCCTTACCCAAGTATCACATAACATTTAGCTCTTTATATATCTTTGACCTCAGATATGCAGATGACACCACTCTGATGGCAAAAAGTGAGGAGGAATTAAAAAACCTCTTAATGAGGTGAAAAAGGAGAGCGCAAAAATGGTCTGAAGCTCAACATCAAAAAATAAGATCATGGCTACTGGACCCATCACCTCCTGGCAAATAGAAAGGGAAGATATGGAGGCAGTGACAGATTTTACTTTCTTGGGCTCCATGATCCCTGCAGATGGTGAGTGACAGAAGCCACAAAATTAAAAAATGCCTGCTTCTTGGGAGGGAGGCAATGAGAAACCTAGACAGCATTTTAAAAAGCAGAGACATCACCTTGCCGACAAAGATCCACATAGTCAAAGCTATGGTTTTTCCAGTAGTGATGTATGGAAGTGAGAGCTGGACCATAAAGAAGGCTGACTGCCCTGAGTGCTCACTGGAAGGACAGATCCTGAAGCTTCCAATACTTTGGTCATCTGATGAGAAGAGAAGACTCCCTGGAAAAGACCCTGATGTTGGAGAAGTGTGAAGGCAAGAGGAGAAGGGGACGACCGAGGATGAGATGGTTGGACAGTGTCACCGAAGCTACCAACATGAATTTTAACAATCTCCGGGAGGCAGTGAAAGACAGGAGGGCTTTAACCAGCTCCCAGTGGCTAGGTCCACAGCCCCATCCTTAGTTGAGGACTAGCCCACAAAATGTTTCCAAAAACAAAACAGTGAGTGCTACTTTCCATATACAAAAGGAAAAATTGCAGGAAACTGGCCTTTATACAAATAAATGCATGCTTGGGTGGGAACAAGTCTATCATTTCTTGCACTGAAAATGTCATATGTCCTTAGCAAATTAAAACTGGTTTGTTGGCAATCTTTCCAGCCATTAAAAGTCCAAGAATAATTCAGCAATGTTTACCAATTTCAGAGCATGTTGTAAAATCATGGAACAATGGCAGTGGAAGTCGAAAACAATTGTTTTCAATCATTTGTGGGTGCCACCCTAACCAAATGCTTAGCTATGTAGAACTGAATGTTTGCTTTTTCAGGCAGATAAATATACTCTTTCTCGCTGACCAGACAAGGAAAGAATAGAATCAATAAGAGAAAAATAGAGCAAAGAAATGTGCAGGGGTGGAGTCTAATTCTAACCCACAGTGCAAATTCTAATATTTAACTCATCAAGGGCCACATTACTATACAGGCTGCTTTTTAAGAATCCTTTAAATGATTATGATCACTTTGATAATAATAATAAAAATCCACCCTCAGTATCCAAA